CTTGGTCGATTGAAAGGATTTTCACAGCACCCTAAAGTGGCCGTTGAAATCTCGTTAGGGTGCGAAAATGCGAGACTGGAAGGCGCGTCACCCGAAAAGCCACTCGTTTTCCTCCTTCTTCCTCACTAATCCTCCTCTATATCTCTCTCTCTCTCTTTATTTTACTCTTTGTTCGACTCTCGTCTTCCCATTGTGCAGCGACGTATAGGGAGACGAGATACTGATGCAATTTGACGTGGCAATACCCCGAGAAAACTCTTTTATGACGAGACTGTGCCTGCTAGAATCGTCGGCAGAAAAAAGATATCGGGAGATAGGGAGGAAATATGTGGTCGATGGAGGATGCGATATAAAGGCGATAGGATATAAAGTTCAGGGGTGCAATAGAAAAGAAAATATTTTCCAAGCTGTGGGAACCCTTCGAGAAAACACTCTAAGTACCTCTATCGCATTGATTTCGATGCAACGTATAGAACTTGACCTGGAAGGGAATACTCGAAAGGACAATTTAGTTTGTTTAAATTCCAATTTACGAACACTAATCTGATCACGTAGTAACAATAATAAATCAAGTGAATCTCGATCCTCTATCTCCAAACTTACGTTCCATCACGGAGTAATGTTCAGAAACGCAATCTGGGGCACGAATTACATTTTCACCGGTGACTGAATTATACTCCCTATAAGAATCACTGTAACACAATGCACGCGTAGTATAATTCCATAGAGAACAGCGGGCGAAGAAAAGAAATTAGGGCGGAGTGTATCGCCCTTCCGATTTCGCTGGCGCGTTTTCATCGTAGCTTTTCGCCCCCGTTCTCATGCAAACACACACGCGCGCGAGCGCACCAGGACGACGTTACGAGATTAGCGCGGGTACGAGACGAACGCGCACGGTTTTTAATGCATGCGCGCTAAAGGGGAAAATGAATGGAAAAAGGACCGGCGCGGGGCCCACCGTCCGGAACCCGTGTAATTGAATCGTCAGGAATCCGCGCGATTTACATGAAACCGCGGACGAATGCTACTGCACCGTTCCGAATCGGCCGTGCATAAATCGTCGCGTGGCCGACGAAGACTTTTTTAGCGCGTTTTCCGTCACTGTCACGTCACCAGAACCGTGAGAACGTCGACGTCGATAATGTCTTTTTTTTTCGCACTTTAACTCATTTAAATAATAAATAGTCACGTCTATACATACTGAAATCATTATAATTCTGCAATAATAGCGTTCTATTCTTTACACTTTTCGCGGCATAAATAAACCGTTTATACTCGTTGATGTTGTGGATATAAAGTTAACGGGTTAACAAAACGTCTATACATATAAAATGTCTTGCCCCTTAGGGATCACTTAAAACCCTGATATGTTTGTAAAAGAATGCGACTTAAACGAGAAAACTTCAACAATGGTTTCCTTTTTCCACTTCTTTAATGAATACTTTAAAGTGTTCTTTCAAGTATTTCCAGGTGTACACCAAACGGAATTGTATAATACCAGGCACACCAGAAATATTTTAATATGAAACCTATAGAGACCGATTCAACATATTGTTCAGAAACGTTGCATTTGGTAGCAAGCCCGGGACGTTGACCAAACAGTCGCTCGATACAGTGTCACTATACCGTATTTCCCCAATGTGTACCGGCCTTTAACCGCGTCCCATTGGCAGTAGGCAACCGGCCTTACGCCCGAGACCGGCTGGAGTGTAGCGAAAACGGCATTGTTGCGATTTCCAAATAAATCGCGGACCATCGATGGCCGCCGGTAATACGGCGGTTATATGGCGTCGAAACGCGAATCAATTCGAATGGTAATTTAGTGCCAATAGTTGGTCGGGATCATGCAGATTGAATGAGCATTTTCGATTCCTGGCGGATGCACACGGTTAGGGAGCCATATCTACGGTTGAAACGCCGTGTAGCATGATTAACCGCTAATTTTTCGACGCATCCATCCCATTTCGACCGAGGTAAAACTTTCCCGGTTTGTGCACTATTAATGTGGCCGAGTCTCGTGCAGCCTCTTCTCTACGCGAACAGTTAACGCCGAGCACCGTCCCTCTCTCGATGAGAACTTCCGGCGAACTTTTCGTCGCTAAAACAATTTGGCCGAGGCAAGATAATGCGAGCGGATAAAGCTACACGAACTTCACGACGACAACAACGACACTGTCGCGCTGCGCTGTGTTGTAATACCTTTCACACCCCGACCGTTTGATAACGTAATCGTTTATATTAATCCTTTTTAACGAGCGTCCGCGCGTACGTGTAGGAGGCTAGCTAACGGCGGCTACGTGACTTTCCCGATCCGGTGAACCGGCACGGCGGCAACGAGTATGCGTGAATTTATGGCTTTATATCTGCGATAATCTTGCGTTGGATGAGCAACATTATCGTGGATAATTAAATACAACCGGTTATTAAGGGACAAATGTAGCGCCGATGACAAGTTGTTAATTCGAGTTTCCGGAAGTTCGCAGTCTCTTAGTTTCGTCTTAGAGGACGATAAACTCTGACTAGTTAACCCTCAACGGATGTAGCATGGATATTATAATACAATCTGTGGTTTGGAAATTCGAAGCAAGAAAAAAAAATTTTGAAAATCATGTAGGTAAATGTATTATGATTTTACCATTTATCCCATGTACCAAGCATAAATAGTCTAGTTAGTATATGAATGTTTAATTATGAACAAATGTTGTAAATAACACATTAGACCGATGAACTAGGTTACTATTACTTCGATACATCAAGTAAGGATTTAACTTTCAATGAAGCATGAAAAAAATGTCGCAGTTCGACCTGGCAAGGGCATCGACATGTGGGTGCAAGTCACTCGTTGACGCTTGGTCGTGTCATTGCTCTAATTTCCGTTGTCTCCGTGGAAAGTGAACGTTAATACGAATTACATGATTCGCCCTCCTTTGAAGCAATCACATAATGCCGGATGTACTTCGCCTCCGTGTTTCAATTCCACGTGCAATTTAACGGAACGATGGGTTAATCGAAAGCGTGCCACTATTATACGGCGAATAAAATGCCGAAATATTCTATTAAAATATCATTACTTGTCACGGTAAAATATAACAATGAGAGTATATTGACACGAACCGAGTGTCAACGCACTTGTCAGTCTTGTAGTTTGATGCGGTCAAATGACGCGACGTGATTCAGAAAGTTTTAAAGAAAAACTTACCGGAGTCCGGACCGCTGGAGTCCACACCGATCGATCACAATGGGCACAACTGGATTTAATCTCCGTGGAAGTGTTCGAGTTTCACGATACGCAGCTCATGACCACAAACCGAAAACGATGTGCATTGGTTCGCATCTAAAATGCAACTTGAACCTTAGCCCGCGCTTTGGTGACTGCCAAAGGATTGAGAGTGGGGAGTCTCTTCTCCGCGTGATGCTACTTACCGAAAATGGCCGCCAGATGGCTGTACAGATCTGATGACGTTTCGTGGACAGCGCCGCTAACACAGGTCCCCACCATAACACCACCGACACCACTTAAACCGATATATGTTACAGTAGAGAACGGTTTTATCACTGACTAAACACTGATTATCGTTGCGGAAATTACCGGCGCACAATATTACGCTAATTTTGCAGTTAGTTATCATTTCTCTAATGGTTATTATTTCATTAACCCGGTAACCAATTCCAACCGTTCCGTTTACATAACCGTTGGGGGAATGTATGTGTTAATGAAATTATTAAACCACCCATTGTTTTAGAGAATTATCACGAAGGGTTATTCACGAATACAGATTCTGATGTTTTTTACTAATTCAAGAAAGAGTAGCCATTTTTTCTGTATAAGAAATAATGTGTGAACTTACTGAACTAAGTTGAAAATGGCTACCATACTTGACGAAAATTTGTTAAATTGTAATTAAAAAATAAACATAGCATTGCTACTAAAAGGAACCTATAATGATTAAATTTTGATAACTGGTATATGGTAGATTGATAGTAACTGTAAAGAAAATAGTTTAGCAAGAAAATTTAATAACTGGCAAAGTGAAATTTGAAGTAGCTTTCCGTATGAAAGCGAATGTAACTGACACAAAAATAAATTCGATTGTTTACCAGCAGTTGTGGAAAATACATCGAAATAACAAAGTGTCACCCTTCGGGATACTAATTGAACTTAATGAAATTACCTAATCCCGTTTATATGCACTATGAAAAATATACAATACAAATATTGCACAACGAAATAAACTCTACACGTTTTAAAATGGAAACGTAACGGAACGAAAAATTGAGTAGGTAGCGCTACAATCGCTGAAACTGAATACGTGAGTCAATTGAATTGTAAATTCAAATAAAATGTAGTTGAGACAGTAAAGCAAATACGTAAAAAACATAAAATAATTATTCAAAAATCTTGTACGATCCAATGTAAAAATATGAATAAAATAAATAATTACTTCTTGATTATTGCCCTCAGATTAAACCTAACAACTGCTAATACACGCAACAGTTTTCGTAATTAAATATACAAATGTATTTGTAGTCTTCATATATTGTAAAACATATGATAAACATATGAAAACGAATAAAATACTAGTCCATGTGTCAATAACACCATAAATGTTTGAAACTCGCCAGTCTTTTTGATTGGTAGAATACACTAGTCATTGTACTCTACCAATCAGATATCGGTATCAGTCTAGTACCTTCCTAGTATCTGTGGTGATATAGACAGTTATTTTAATCAACAGTATATAAACATTACAATGAAAATGAACTCATGCTATCTCATTAGTTAGAAGTGTCAATCATGTGCAATGCACTTTTAAATTTGGCGGCAGTCTCGGTTAATTTCAAAAATGAACACGAGATGGCAGTGTATTAAGCGAACAACGCGCCATCCCACTTGCCATACGATCGTTCGCTGGGTAAGGGGCAGGGCGGGGTATTGCTGACGTCACTTTCGGCAATGTCCGCCGACACTCGAGTGGCCCGATCTCGCCCGAACGGGTCAATGTCTGAGGAGGCTTCGAAAAATTCGTAGCTGGTGTGGTGTTCCCGTGCTCGACGAGGAAGAGAAGTCGTCGTTGATCGTCGAGGATCAATTTTGTCGCGTAGTTCAAGCTCGCGCCTCAATCCATTTCCCGGTGCTAAGGTGCGAGGCGTTGCTGCATTTGCATAGTGATTTCACGGTCGTCGAAAGCAGAGGTGAACAGCGACGGCGACGACGACCTCCCCTCGAACAACGACGACACGGACGACGACGACGAAGAAAACGTCCACGTCGGCGTCAGCAGGGTTTTCGAACGTTACTTCGCGTAGCTTAGCGCCCGATCGCGGCAAAATGTTGTGCACAAGCCTGGCAAGTCGACAACGTCGGGCCTGAGAAGTCGAGAAGCGCGAGAAAGAGTGACGAGTAGTGACGAGATTCAAAGTATAACGAGAGAGATAGAGCGAGTGAGAAAGAGCGGCAGTGGTGGAGGTGAGGCGGTAGCGCTTCCCCCGCACCCTCCGAAAGCGCACGAGCGTAAGAGTGAGAGAAGACAGAAGAGCGAACAGTGGGAGAGAAAGGAAGGAAGAAAGAAAGAAAGAGGTGGATAGAGACGGAGGACCGACTACGCCGTTAGGCCGAAAAAGAGAAGACGAGTGGAGGAAGAAAGCTGGAGAGCGCGAGTGGTGGTGTGCCGAGAGTAACAACGGCGTAACAACGCAACGAACGGAGGCGTTGTCGAGAACATTGAAATTCATTGTGTTGTCGGTCCCATAGAAGATACGGTGAGGTATATAGGTTCGCAACAACGAAGAAATCCGACCCGTCAGCCAGATCATCGTGGAGTTACACTATATAGGAAAGCTACCAAGTGCGGCGGTGTACCTCCACTGGCGAGCGCGTACGAACCATTCCGAAAACGTCGACCCCCGCCTCCCCTCACAGCATAGCTCTCCGCAACACTCCGCGCCTTCGTTCAGGTTATTAGGTAGTAGAAGCGCGCTTCTCGATCCGTGATACTCCCTGACAGCAACGACCAATACGAAAGATTGTTGTAAATTGTGTCAATTCGCGTAGTTGGACACCACCGGCGCGGTATATCGTAGCCGCCGGTGGACATTGCTGGAACAAGAGAAAGAGCATCGTGTGAAACGTATCGGGCGGCAAGCCTGTCGCGCGAACGTGCTTGGTGTAAACGGAGTGTATATAACCCCGGTGTGCGCTGTTCCATCACTACGGACGTTGCTCGTGAGAGTCGCTACCGTCGCCAGCGACCACCATCGTCAACGGGAGCGAACGTATATTCGGAAGGAAGTGTCGAAAGTGTGAAGAAAATTTTCACGGCTCCTGTTTTCCCCGTATTATCGTCTCTGTGATCACTCGTATCACAGTTGTCATCCTTGTCCACGGTTCTCCATAGTTCCTTCTTTCTCGATCTTGCGCGCGCTTTGGTCGCTCGTTGCTCTTCCCTCCTTTCTGTCCCTCCTACTCCCTCTCCCGCCCTTCCTCCCTTCTCTCTCTCTCTCTCGCACACCCTGTTTCTATCTCTTTCTCTCTCTTTCTCCCCGCGTCTGTCCGTTTTACTCTCTTTCTCTCCCTTCATCCGTCGATCGAGCACGGCCGTGGCGTAATATAGAAGAACCTAACCGTGCGGACGTGTATGCGTGCGTGCGATGTGATTATCATTCGTGCTGTCATTGATGTCCGAGGTGGTGTCGAGAACGACGACGACGACGACGACGACCACGACGCGTTGCTGGCTATCTTCACGTGAGGCGTTCGCGAAGAGGAGGAGGAGGAAGTGGCACGGCCAGCCGAGGCGGCGGCCAGCGGAAGCAGAAGCGGCATACTCCAGACCTCGGTGTCAGGTGGAGGTGGAGGAGCCGGTGAAGAAATTTTCAGGATGAGCGGCCGACCAAGGACCACCTCCTTCGCTGAGGGCAACAAGCTGCCCGCGAATCCGCCCATGGGTGGCATGAAGATCAGCAGTGAGTACCGTAGGACGTGCCTTAACCTCTAGCCACAGCTTTTACTCGGACTTCTCCCCCTTCCACGCTTATCCCCGCACCTTGCCCCTCTTCATCTTGTACTTCTTCTCGCCAGTCCCCTCTCTCTCGCAGAATATCCCCCTCTTCCTCTTCCCTTCCTCTTTTATTCCCCTCTTGCCGCGCTCTTTCTCTCGCCAACTCGCTCGTTCGCCTGTCTGTCTCCGAATGCAGAGCTGTGCGTCTGCGTGCGAGTGCCTGGGTTACTCTTGGGAAGGCGATGGAGCGGGTGCCCGAGGAAGAGGGTAGGGGGGATCATTCTTTTCACCCGATGCTGCTGCTTAGATCAACCTTCGGGATTCTCTATTTTAGCGGCTTCTGCTGAATTCGATGTTTACGCGATACGCGTATCGTGGATGTGCTCGGCTCGCGATGTTACTCCGGTCTGACGTTGTGAAAACGCGACGCTGCTCGCCGACCAGAACGCGGTGCTTCACGGTCCTACCTACCAGTAATCGTCGTTACGCAGTTTTCTCTTGAACGTTCTTGTCAGTGCCGTCGATTTGTCAGGATGAAATATTCGGAAGAACCTGTGCGTAACGATATGACAGTGAACAACGAACGGTAAACATTGTATTCGGCCGATACCGCTACACTCAGAGATTGTTACTTTTTTTTGTTAACCAATTGGGCATCTGGGTTACGTAGTGTGTTAAAGATTGCATGAGTACGTTTATGAAGTACAGAGTTACCGAGTAAGGTGTAACAGTTTGTCTGACAATCTTAACTTTAGTCAAGTTGTGGCATGTCATCTATGTTGATTGCATGATTGTGAACTTTATACTTTATACATAACAAGTGTTGAGATTTTCTATTAATTATAGATGAAAAGTTTGAAAGTGGCATTAAGTATGTTACCTCAAGAGAGTTGCAACATCTATGAGTAGAGTTAACTTTGGAGCAGCACTTTAAGAGAACATTATAGAACTATTATCGGCAATTAGTCTATGTTCAATTGAGTCACACCAAATTCTTGTATAATAAAAAGTTAAAGATTCTTATCATCTTGGAAACCTACTTGTTTTCACATTGGTTCATAGGAGAGATAAAGTATGAGAAAAACTCACTTTACAGCATTATACATTAGTAAGAAACAGACAGTTTAGAACAATCAATTTGAAATAAGTCCCCTTTCATTAGTAGTTCTTGCTTTATATAAAAATATGAAGAGTAATGAAAGATCTAGAAGAATGGAACTTTCTTCATCAGGCAATTAACTTATGCAAGCGTTAGTCCTATTAATAAAGTATCTCTTTATCAAAGCACTGAAGCTTTTGAATGTCATTTGAATCTTCAGTAGTCATTTAGATAAACCACTAGTTATTTATTTACAGATTTATAGAGAAATCTTATCAAAAGTTTAATCACAGATTCAGTTTGAATTCAGTGCAATATTTATTAACATAAAATGCATTGTTTTACCAATGCAGATTTGAAGTCTTATTCTTCTATTTCTACCATTTCGGAATAATTATTTGCAAATTTAAACAATTCTGCAATTCAGGCTCATCTTGTCTCCATTGGAACAAATATTTTTCACGGCACTTCAAATTTCATTAAAAGTTTCAAGTAACCAATGAAACATAAAGATTTCTTGCTCTCTGGACATACATAAAATATCTAATTATAAATACGTATACAAGCAATTTAATTGCATATGCATTAGGACAAGACCTTTATACAGTTTCTACATGCAGAAATATTCCGTTGACTGTAACATTCTTCGAAAACAAGTTACGTGGTTGCGATATCGTTATAGCGTTGAACAATCAGGGGAATATCATATGCCTGAAATTTGGGATACGCCCTTCGAGTCCCTTTCGAATTTCAGGTATACCTTCTCTGTTCCCGAGGCACAATAACAGAATCTACAACAACTGGAGGGAAATATAAACTCGGATCACCGGTAGGTTGCCAACTTCCATTCGATATTCGTAAAATCGGAACTAGGTCTAATTCCTCTTCCGACGCCTCCATAGAACCTGAAATTTCAAGATCATATGATTCTTCGGTAGAAATTCTTAGCTTCATTTATGCTGAAGACAATGACAGAATTTGTTATACCAGCTGTGGATATTAATAGAAAAGCGAAATAATAATTCGATTAATAGAATCAGGCGCAGAAGATTAAATTGCAGAAAATCAAAATAATGCGTTCTCGCTCGTGCATAAATTCCAAGAGGTGAAAATGTTTGTCAGTAGTGTGTTATCGATGCACAGCCAATATCTCGCGGGCGAAGGACGCTTAGATACAATTTAAATAAATGTTCTTAACGCTCGTATCGGTCGTTCGGACGATTAACGCGCTATTGTTCAATGCCGCGGACAAAAAAATCACGGTCGACAGCCGTTGATTTTTAAAACTAGCCGCGAGCGCGCGTTTATATCTCAGCGCTCGAAATAAAGAGCCTTCAGGGGGGTTCGTGTTCTTGTCAATCGGCAGGGCATATTGATATCGACGCGCGTTGAATCAGGCTGCCTTACGCGCATCGGATTTTTGGCGGGCGTTCGATCCACGCGCTCGACGCGCGTTAATCAATATTCAGCTGGCACGTAATTTTTCTGCCAGCGTTGAAAATTCGTCGCCTTCGTCGAGGAACGCCACCGGGATTAAACCACGGGAATAGGATTAACTTCGATCTTCCTCCATGTCCCACTATATAGAACTTTGTTATCTAATCAATTTACATAATTACATAAACGAATTGTCTGCCGGAGATGACATTTATCGAGTCACCTGCCATTACCGTTTGGATTCAGGATTAATTACGTTAACGATATACCTTTGTGTCGTGTTACTTTTCGAAATGAACTTACGGTGGATCTCTTTGGAATCAGCAAAAATGTTGAAAGTCGTGAGAGTACACAAACAGAAAATTGTTATTGAATCAACGAATGACACAGAAGTCGTTATTTTCTTGGTGTGCAAGTATCACTTGCTTCGCGAAACAATCTTTGTTGAACTGTTCGAACAAAGGCACCCATTCAGACGTGGACATTAGATGCACTGTCTCTCTAAACACTCGTAAGTTGAAGTGGTTCCTCGACTCGACAAATTAGAGACACTGTTTTTTATGCTTCTCGTCTGTTTCGTTAGTTTCAGGGAAAAATAGGGACCCGGTGTCTTTTTGTAGCGCTGTTTCCGACGAACAGGATGAACCACAACCCGCATTTCGTGTCGAGAAACGGCGGGAAAATGTCGCGACTGGTCCCGTTGATTTAAAAAATTCATACCCCTCGGCGGGGCTGCGGGTGCATCGCAGCTCGAAATGATCGCATGACACATTCATGGGTGGCATGGCACGCTCGCTTAGGAAACTGGGTCAATATCCTAGCGTCGCGTTGACACGCGTCGTTCGCACGACTCCGGCCGCGAACAAAAGCGAAAATAAAATGAAAATTTCTCCGCCGAACGGCTGTCATCGGGCGTTCCCCCTTCCCGCGGGCTTTAATAAAAATTTTAAATTATCCCCGCACGGACTCCGTCGGCCACTTCCGCGATGTCAACCGCGTGCATGGGGCGAAAATAGTGTCATCAACAGCGCGCGTTAATCGAACCCTATCTTTAGAAAAACTACGCATGCGTTGTGGATCCACGCTTCTGTCGGTTCCGCACGCAAGAAGCAGAAAGTGTATCGAGGAATTTCGAGCTGGACGACTTCTCTTCTTGCTCCCCTTCACCTGGACGTTTTCGTTACGTTTGCACGAGCGATGATCGATCGAACGATTCTTCCAAAGATAGAGGATGTTCCAAAACGTGGGTAGAAATTATACCGTTGGAAAGGATAGGAGGGCGTAAATTGTTAGACAATGATTCATTGGTGTATTATGAACGATCAGCCTTCCTTTGGGAACTCGAGTTCATTTAAACTGTCTGCAAAACGTATGCAATGGCTATAAGGAGGGGATTATACGATCTTGGATCTTCTTCTTTCTCATATTCTGCCCGTCTCGAATAATCGTAACGGATACAGACCGACCCAGTTCCGCGGTACATCGAGTGTATTATTCAGAAGCTTTTTAAACAGTGCCGTCGAGGAGTTGATCCTTGCCATCGTCGTTTACCTTCCGTCTCGGTTCTTCGACGACGAATCAGCCTTTCTCGTTGTTACCTTTGCGGCTGTTTGTGTTGCAAAAAGGTCGATCACATTACCTGCTCACGTGTCGCTGATCTGGGTCAATATGCCTGCACGATATTGAAACCGTTTTCAACGACACGCGAATTTCACGATTCAACTGTTCCCTCTCCGTTGTGATCTTGGTGATCGAGGGAATTGAGCCCTCCGTATACGCGTGAACTTCGAGCCTCGATTATCACGAGCCCCGTAGTTCAAGCGAACCGACAGAGTAACTTCACCATGATCGAAAAGTTCTGCCGGGGGACTTCAAACCGAAAATCGTGGCTCATTAAATAACGATCAGACCGGATCGGGTAACGATAATTATTCGACAACTTTCCGAGAACCGTTCGACGAGAATAATGGCGACCGATCGGATTTATAAATAATCTCGCGTGGTGGCTGATGAAGGAATTACGTATCAATATCTCGTGGTTGCCAGGCAGAACGGAGACAATGGTGTGGTGCCCGTATTCTCTTCGCGGCCGAAGGATCGATTGTCCTTGCGGTGGGGGGTGGTTCTGACTCCGAATCAAGTTCATCCCGATCGAAGGTGTCCGTTAGTTTCCAGAAAGTTCTCGGAACACTCTACGAATCCTCTACGAATTGGACAAATCAGAAAAATAATTTCACAACATCGACGTCTGCGAACGAACAATCAAATACACGGTGCGAATGATCAAAGGGGATGATGATCGCTGGCCATTGAAATGCCCGCTGTTAAAAAGTAATTACTCTCGGTAATAGCTTTTAAATTACAAACTCATTGGCGTTTCTCCGTCTACTTTCATACTTCCAATACTACACTTCCTGTAAATATAAGGC